TTCATTGCGATATGACAATGACCCCTAAAGTGCGGCTGAGTGATTTCTGTACTTTCTTTTTTATCTTTTTTAAATTGGACTTTAATAGACGCGTACCACTTGATGCCCCCCTTCTTCTTCATTTGTTTTAGTAGAATATCCTTTATCTTGGCCTCTTTCTCCTTAAAGAAACGCAGAGGGTCGAATTTTGAAAGACCAATGGCGTTTATTTCCACTGTTTTCAATATTCCGTTTAGAGCCTCGTTCTCGAAATCGCATTCGATATCTTCAGAGGTTGACTGTGAGGGGGATGATTGGTCACTTGACGAGGTTGTTGATGTTTCCGAGTCTTCAGGAGATGTTGCTGTCGAATCCGATGTCGTACTGTCCTTAGAGGGTCCACCACCCGATTGATTAATATGTGATCTTTTATGGGTTTCCAGTTTGTCCTTCCTGTAAAACTCTTGATTACACAGATCACAATGAAATTCCGGGGGTTTATGCAGTTTTTCGTGCCTAGTTAAATTTTCCTTTCTGTTGAATACTTTCCCGCAGTGACATTGATATGTCTGATAATTAGCGTTATGTTGCAAACGTTTATGTCTTGCCAAACCAGTAGCTCGTTTATACCGTTTACCACAGTGGCAGGTGTATGTTGAATGCATGGCGGGCATATTTTTATAGGCCTAGCTGGAAATATATTAATCATATACGTGTAATTAATAAATGTACTTTACCACTATCACGATATTAAATTCAACCTTATTAGAAAATGAAAATCAATAAACTGACAGATTAATATGCAGTAAGTAATAAAACATTGTTCATATCTCGAATTGTTCGATATAATATGTTTCTGTATATTAATTTAATATATGGAAACACAGTTACTCGAAGCATTGTGTGAATTATACATCTGTTTCTGATATTATATATGATTTTAAGATACATTATTAAATCTCACTTTTGAGCAACACACTGTGTGAAATAAACATTTGTTGCTCGGGTTTCTGATATTATATATGATTTTAAGATGCATAATGAAATCTCACCTTTTAGCAATGTATGCTTGATTCGTGCTCTTTATGTTTATACTTGTCCTACGTCTCCTCCTATTTCCTAATCATGCGCTTGTTGCATCCAGATGTGGAAATGTGGAAAGATTGCGATGTAATGTCCTTTATAATTTGGAGAAACTCCTTAAAAACTAGTTTAAACCGGTTCTGAAAAATACTAATTTTGTTCAAAAATATTCGGTCGTTTAACATTTGCATCTAGTTTGCTCTATCTAATGTCTTCTTTTGATTTAATCAATAAGGCTGCACTCGTTAACGTAGCAATCATAGCAATTGAGCCGAGAAGTATTTATAGTTATACATATTACCTGGCCAGTTAACTTACATAGAATCTTATAATCAGTATAATTGATTTAGACTTAAGGCTAAAACAAAATTAACGTTTTAATAAATCAAACTAAACGAGGTAGTGACAGTTATGACGTGTACTAACTTTAATTAATTGTTTTTGGCGGGAAATTGTTAATATAGTTCTACGTACAACATGTAAGAAATCACTCGAGTCTGTACCGGCGGGTACGGTCTTACCTATTATCGATTACCAGTCAATGACTGACGCGTTTTTATTAATTTTACTTCACCGGCTGTCAATATTCCGTATCAAATTACCAGAACCTGTACCGACGGTACAGGCTTTCAAGGTTAAACGGGACGCGTACTGGTTTATCGATTTATTGTTTTTGGCGGGAATTCGAATAGTATCCTTACAGTAAACGTACAAACGTGGGGTAGGGCGTCCGTTACCTTAGGGCCCGAGATTCCCGAAATATGTACACGCCACCACGCCGAGGGGGGAGGGGTGGGGTCCCCGTATGTGCCTCCCGAGCTCAGGGAGGCTCACAGATGTCCCTCCCCATTGGAGCCCATGTTAGGGAGGGTAATATGAAAAATCGTGTCCCTCCCCATAGGACTCAATGTTAAAGGTGCGTCAGAACTCTCGTTTCTGTAACTACTAACGTTTATCTTCCCCGTCAGTCCCATAAGGCCAACAACTTGTACCTTCTCAGTCAGTTCCACAACGCCAGCAACTTGTATCTTCGGCGTCAGTTCCACAGCGCCAGCAACTTGTATCTTCTTCGTCAGTTCCACAACGCCAGCAACTTGTATCTTCTCCGTCAGTTCCACAACGCCAGCAACTTGTATCTTCCCAGCAAGTTCCAACACTCCAGCAACGTTTATCTTCCCTGTCAGTTCCATAACGCAAGCAACTTGCACCTTCCCACTCAGTTCCACAACGCCAGCAACTTGTATCTTCCCCGTCAGTTCCACAACGCCAGCAACTTGTATCTTCTTCGTCAGTTCAACAACGCCAGCAACTTGTATCTTCCCGTCAGTTCCACAACGCCAGTAACTTGTATCTTCCCCGTCAATTCCACAACTTGTATCTTCTTCGTCAGTTCCATAACGCCATCAACTTGTACCTTCCCCGTCAGTTCCACAACGCCAGTAACTTGTACCTTCCCAGTCAGTTCCACAACGCCAGCAACTTGTACCTTCCCAGTCAGTTCCACAACGCCAGTAACTTGTATCTTCCCGTCAGTTCCACAACGCCAGTAACTTGTACCTTCCCAGTCAGTTGCACAACGCCAGTAACTTGTACCTTCCCAGTCAGTTCCACAACGCCAGTAACTTGTACCTTCCCAGTCAGTTCCACAACGCCAGTAACTTGTATCTTCCCGTCAGTTCCACAACGCCAGTAACTTGTATCTTCCCGTCAGTTCCACAACGCCAGTAACTTGTATCTTCCCAGTCAGTTCCACAACGCCAGTAACTTGTATCTTCCCAGTTAGTTCCACAACGCCAGTAACTTGTATCTTCCCGTCAGTTCCACAACGCCAGTAACTTGTATCTTCCCTGTCAATTCCACAACTCTAGCAACTTGTATCTTCCCAGTCAGTTCCACAACTCCAGCAACTTGTATCTTCCCGTCATTTCCACAACGCCAGCAACTTGTATCTTCCCGTCAGTTCCACAACGCCAGTAACTTGTATCTTCCCAGTCAGTTCCACAACTCCAGCAACTTGTATCTTCCCGTCAGTTCCACAACGCCAGCAACTTGTATCTTCCCCGTCAATTCCACAACGCCAGCAACTTGTACCTTCCCAGTCAGTTCCGCAACGCCAGTAACTTGTATCTTCCCAGTCAGTTCCACAACTCCAGCAATTTGTATCTTCCCGTCAGTTCCACAACGCCAGCAACTTGTATCTTCCCGTCAGTTCCATAACGCCAGCAACTTGTATCTTCCCATCAGTTCCACAACGCCAGCAACTTGTATCTTCTTCGTCAGTTCCACAACGCCAGCTACTTGTACAGTACCTTCCCCGTCAGTTCCTCAACGCCAGTAACTTGTATCTTCCCCTTCAATTCCACAACTCCAGAAACTTGTATCTTCCCAGTCAGTTCCACAACTCCAGCAACTTGTATCTTCCCGTCAGTTCCACAACGCCAGCAACTTGTATCTTCCCGTCAGTTCCACAACGCCAGTAACTTGTATCTTCCCGTCAGTTCCACAACGCCAGTAACTTGTATCTTCCCAGTCAGTTCCACAACGCCAGTAACTTGTATCTTCCCAGTTAGTTCCACAACGCCAGTAACTTGTATCTTCCCGTCAGTTCCACAACGCCAGTAACTTGTATCTTCCCTGTCAATTCCACAACTCCAGCAACTTGTATCTTCCCAGTCAGTTCCACAACTCCAGCAACTTGTATCTTCCCGTCATTTCCACAACGCCAGCAACTTGTATCTTCCCGTCAGTTCCACAACGCCAGCAACTTGTATCTTCCCGTCAGTTCCACAACGCCAGTAACTTGTATCTTCCCAGTCAGTTCCACAACTCCAGCAACTTGTATCTTCCCGTCAGTTCCACAACGCCAGCAACTTGTATCTTCCCCGTCAATTCCACAACGCCAGCAACTTGTACCTTCCCAGTCAGTTCCACAACGCCAGTAACTTGTATCTTCCCTGTCAATTCCACAACTCCAGCAACTTGTATCTTCCCAGTCAGTTCCACAACTCCAGCAACTTGTATCTTCCCGTCATTTCCACAACGCCAGCAACTTGTATCTTCCCGTCAGTTCCACAACGCCAGTAACTTGTATCTTCCCAGTCAGTTCCACAACTCCAGCAACTTGTATCTTCCCGTCAGTTCCACAACGCCAGCAACTTGTATCTTCCCCGTCAATTCCACAACGCCAGCAACTTGTACCTTCCCAGTCAGTTCCGCAACGCCAGTAACTTGTATCTTCCCAGTCAGTTCCACAACTCCAGCAATTTGTATCTTCCCGTCAGTTCCACAACGCCAGCAACTTGTATCTTCCCGTCAGTTCCATAACGCCAGCAACTTGTATCTTCCCATCAGTTCCACAACGCCAGCAACTTGTATCTTCTTCGTCAGTTCCACAACGCCAGCTACTTGTACAGTACCTTCCCCGTCAGTTCCTCAACGCCAGTAACTTGTATCTTCCCCGTCAATTCCACAACTCCAGAAACTTGTATCTTCCCAGTCAGTTCCACAACTCCAGCAACTTGTATCTTCCCGTCAGTTCCACAACGCCAGCAACTTGTATATTCCCGTCAGTTCCACGCCAGTAACTTGTATCTTCCCAGTCAGTTCCACAACACCAGTAACTTGTATCTTCCCAGTCAGTTCCACAACTCCAGCAACTTGTATCTTCCCGTCAGTTCCACAACGTCAGTAACTTGTATCTTCCCCGTCAATTCCACAACGCCAGCAACTTGTACCTACCCATGAGTCAGTTCCACAACGCCAGTAACGTGTACCTTCCCATGAGTCAGTTCCACAACGCCAGTAACTTGTATATTCCCAGTCAGTTCCACAACTCCAGCAACGTGTATCTTCCCGTCAGTTCCACAACGCCAGGCAGCAACTTGTATCTTCCCGTCAGTTCCACAACGCCAGCAACTTGTATCTTCTTGATTTTGTAGGTCGAACAAAGATGTATTTTGATTTCGGAAGGTATGGCATATGGTGGGAATTGTTTGCCCTACCTGCATTATTCATGATTCAAGATGCCACTGCTTATTACCTTCACAGCACATTCCATAATGTGCAGTTCCTCTACAGGTTAGTTAAAGTTTATCACACAACTCCTAATCAGTAGATATTTTAGCTTTCGAAAAGTTATTTCGAAAACCTATACGTCAACTTTTACTTTAAAAGGTCTTGTCACACAAAAATCAATTTGAAATTGATTTTCCTGAATTGTGGATACCTCGCTAATATTTAAACAATATTCTTTGTATATTCCTATAACGCACTAAGCAAGTAAATTCGCTATAACCACAACCAAATGAGAGTAACCTATTAGTAAGAACAAAAAACAAAAAAATGCGCATAAACCCATCAATTGTAAGTTAAAGTTACAAAACCATGTTAGTTTTTTTGAAATTCAGATCGTTTTTACTGCTAGTAGGATTATCTCACATATTTTTAGTTAGATATTCGTAAGATGTGTAAAGCTTATCATCATACATCACTAACATTTGAAATTATTAAAGTTATCTGTAGCATCGTTGTAATCTGTATAATATCAACCCAATATCTAGCTCTTGTGGCGTGGTGTTCTGCAAACAAGACATTTTAACGTGATCCCTATTTAAAATTAATAAGCATGTAATGTATCCAATCAAACACTTTGACTACCATTTTGATACACTAAATTACTCATTAGTGTTCTTCAAGCAAAGATCGAGCAATTCAACCTTGTAGGCTTCATTAGTTCCACACATGATTTGAAAACTGCTTCTGGATTGCGTCAGCTTAAGACGTATTTCGACTCCATTTATAATGTAACGACATTATGAAACACCCTGTACAAATACTGGACAGGGGTTTATCATGCAACCAGCAAATAGCTCGCTTCAGGAATCGCTGGCACAGATTGGATTAGTAATCAATGTCGTTACATTATAAATGGAGTCGAAATTCGTCTTAAAGTCTCCGATAAATCGGAGTACGTATACCGCCGTGTTTACATTAGGGAATTACAAGAGTTTATTTTTATCTAGGTATGCAAGCAATATCAATATTAGTACAATAACGTCATTTCAAAGGGCAATATAGTGAAATATTGGACCAAGGGCCGCAGGGCTCGAACCCCCCCCCCCCTCGAAACCCCCCCCCCAAAAAAAAAATTCCCCATGCTAAACCAAGCCCCTTTGTATTCACGCCCGGTGATCGTGAATATGGGACGGAGGGGGGAGCAGGCAATTTCTGCTAGGAAATTCAACAAATCTGGAAGATTTATTTTTTCAAGAAAAAGTTTACTATTGAATTGCTAAATGGATAGGCGCACGTTATCACGGTGTTATAGCATGACAGATACGACAAGGCAATTGGTCAAATTTTGCGGTAACGATAACAAAAAATGGCGGACGGGAAAGACAGCATGTCCTCTTTTTCGCCTGTAGGCAAGATTCACAGGTAAGCTTTCCTTTTCAACTAGTTCCATGCGGTGATGCATATGTGAATGGTTATAAAGATTGAGTTAAATCTGTCGTGTGGTCTACAAGAAGCAGAATATAAGCTGTAAACCTACCCGGCTGAGATTTCGAAGTTCATAATTTTTAGTCCTTTTTCGTGTTTTCTCAGTATATGTGCCTCAGAGCCACTCACAATACTAACTATACGTAAACTGTGTATAAACAAGCCATAAAATGACAAATGCAGAACAGAAATGTGGTGAATATTGTAGATAATAAGGTTTCAATCGCAAGGTCGTTAGACAGATACGTATGTATTGCATGCTTTTTTATGGACAGCAACGCATTGTATTAGTTTTACATTAGATGTTAGCGGACGGTTACATGCAAGTTCCTGTCAAGTCATAATAGCGGGCAAAATAGTGAAATATTGGACCTTGGGCCTGCGGCCCTTGGTCCAATATTTCACTTTATTATATACCTCAAATGTATTCTAGATGCTCATTGGCTTATTCATGGTCACATGACATGGAATAGATGAACTAATTCCCTGGAAAGTCCTAAATCCCTGCTTTCAGGGAAGATGAATTGTACTAATCACCAGTTAGGTCATGTGACCAGTCAATAGCAGTCAATAGTACATTTTATCTTCCCCCAAATCAGAGATTATAGGAGTTGAAAGGTAAAATGCCTTTAAATGCCAATAAGAACCTGTGAACATTTGATATTGAAATGAAAAGACTTCTCATTTTGTTTTTGTTTACAGAGTACTTATCAGGTATATAATAAAACAAATAGTGACTGCCACATTTTCGGGAAATAGTGTAAAAATTTTCCTCTCGGGAATATCCTGTCCACTGACTTGTTCCCTCGGCCTGCAGCCTCGGGAACATGTCAGTGGACAGGATATTCCCTTGAGGAAAATATTTTGCACTATTTCCCTCAATGGCAGTCACTATTTGTACAATATTGCCCTTTGAAATTACGTTATTACTATTATTACCACCGTTAATGCCCAGGGCTGAAATAGCAAATTTGAAATAGAAAATCTTACGCACTGAACGATATCACTTTTCCCGGGAAACATAGCCGGGCGGATAATGTCATTATTGCCCGACTAAAGTCATTAACGCCCGACACAATATTGCTCACGTCAATATAGCAATTTAAATGCCTTCTCAACTAGTACTAAAACCCCTGGAACAGGCCCTGCAAGGTGGTAATAATACGATTTCATCTATTATAGCTTACAAAACTCAAATCCAGTTGAAAAACATCTCAATTTTGGATCACAAGCGATATGAAATGATTCGGTGTTACATATATGAACGAGGTTCGCGTAACTGTCTATCAATTTTTGCCGTATCCGCAAATTCAAAATACATTATTATGGCTTGAGTAGAACATATTAAGTGGTTTACAATGCTTAATTGGCTTTGTATGATCGTATGTAGGTTACATTTATATACACCAAGGTTGTTGCGCAATGTAGAGCATGCCCTAACGAGGAAAGGAAACAAATTACTAAATTTTATGAAGTTTTGAATTTCAAACTCGACAGTTTTTCGCTTATTTCATGTTATCCATGGGCGTCGATTTGCAAAGACTACGTTCAAAATAAACATTACTGAATGCATCACCGAATGCGACGCTTACATAAATCTTTCATGCTTTTATTGATACGCAGTAGTAGAAAATAATGCACCTACCTTAGCTTTCTGTTTCATCGTGGCCATTTTATTGGATAAATCAATGATCGTATTCGACTAACCTCGTTTTCAGAGGTGGCGTATCCGTCATGCTATAACACCGTGGTTATGGTAGAATATGTTAGGTTTCTGGTTTTTTTTTCTGAAACGATACGCATCTAAGGTATGAGATCTATTAAAAAAGGCGCACGGCCATCAACAGGCACAAATCAACGTTTTTGCTATAAATCAAGCAACAATGGTCTGGACGACCTGTAATAAATACTTGTTAATGATGTTATCATAACTAAATTAATGTCATTGCTGAATTTATATAATAAGTTTCAATATGTGGAATAAAAAATAATCGAAAATAATGAATTTGGGACGGAGGGGGGGGAGGGGACGGAGGGGGGAGCAATATGTATATAAGACATGATTAGAGATGTTTCGCGACTTTAAGTCCTTTTACTCCAAATGTCCCCATTTTTCAGTCTCCAGGGGTATATCATCCAGTTTCTTACTAAGTTAATGAGTTCATTTTTCAAATACAAGAATTCGTGTGAAGTTGTTTCACTTTATAGAATTATTACCCCCCCCCTCCGTCCCCTCCCCCCTCCGTCCCATTTTAATTATTTTCGATTATTTTTTATTTTACGTATGGAAACTTATTTTATAAATTCAGCGATTACATTAATTTAGTTATGATAACATCACTTACAAGTATTTATTACAGATCGTGTAGTCCATTGTTGCTTGATTTATAGCAAAAACTTTGACTTTTGCACGTTGGTTGCGTTGCGCCTTTTTTAATAGATCTTATATCTTAAAAGAGTATCGGTTGAAAAATAATCCTAGAATACCTATCATATTTTATCATACCGTGCGCTTATTCAATTTGCAATTCAATCGTAAACTCTGTCTTGAAAAAATAATTTTACCAGATTTGTTGAATTTTCTAGCGGAAATTGCCTGCTCCCCCCCCCCCTCCGTCCCATTTCACGATCACCGGGCGTGCCATAACCTATTAGGTTTATTTGATACCAATATTATCTCTTTAGGCCAAATAATGACAAAGTTACAAATGAGTTAAGATTCCAAGGTAATATGTCTATAGATGCGTAACCATGGTAACGGAATGCTACAATACAGAGCAACCAATGATAGTTTGCAAAGGCATTCGGCAGAAAATTGAGCCTCAAAGTGTTACACTTCAAAAAAGAATTATGCCATAAATTAATAGAGACCAATAAGTTGGGCAAATTTTTTGAAACGATAGAGAGGCATGGGTTTCTGACTATGCATATCTCTGTGTATTTTCTTTCCAGATGGGTCCACAAGTGGCACCATAAGTATTATGCCCCCACGGCATTCGCAGCAGTAGCCATGCACCCAGTAGAGTTCATCATGTATCAGTTCTCGCTCATTGCCCCAATATTGTTCATTCCAATATATTCAGGTATGTATCATGTTCCTTCCGATGAGTTGCCCATAAAATAGCAGCTTAATCCGGTGGCCGATAGCCTAAAGTTGCATTCTCGAATACAAGCTTAGAAACGCAAACAGGTGATGGTCATTATAGTGACCTTAAACCTAATAAGGTGGGCTAACATGGCTTAATGGTATAGTCTTCGAGCCGTGTAACAAAAACATGACTGCTAACATAACATAACGTGACATATTATCAGCGGTTACATGGGTTAGTAATGCATCTATAGTACTACCTTGATCATTCCCGTATTTCTGAAATTGTCAGTACAATATATTCACTGAGAACACATAAACATTTGTATTGTGGTTAGTACATGACTATTTTGCAGGTTCATTCTTACTTTGCATCATGTACGTTTACTACTACGGAATGATTGACCACTCTGGTATAATGATGTCGGCATTCTGGCCTTGGCAACCTCACACAATCTTCCATGATGATCATCACAGGTAATGATCTCCATAGATTCAGCCCAGACTGACGTGTAGTAATATCAGTAGTAGCTGATGACTCTAACTGCAGTTAGTATAATCCAAGATGGTGGCCAAAATTCTTTCGTTTTTGATAAACCAACGATTTCAACTAAATCGACCTGAATCTGGATTCCAAATGGTTCGCCATGCAAACTAGTAGAGTAACAATTGTAAACAACCAGGAAAGAATGGTCAGACACCCGCATCAATAGAGAATTTTAAAGAAAACCGCTTCACTTAGAATGCCTCTAGCTGAAGTTGTTGATACACTCAAACATGATATTCACAATAACTCAGATCGCCATGCATGTATTCACCCCATAGAGTTAGTGTCATCCACCGTTTCAGTTAGTGTCACTCCTACGTCATCATCAAGTTCAGCTAGAGTCGTTTTAATTACATGGGCAATATGACAAGTGATTTTAGATGGTCATATCTTTCACCATGAGAACTTTCTGGTCATCTATACAGTTTTTTTTTTATCAAAACAACATGTTGTCTTTCAAGTTAAGTCCCCATGATAGTAAAATATCAATTAATATTTTGAAAAAAAATGTTGACATGAGGTCCCTTTTCATAATTTTTCGAATTGTTCAATTGATATTTTTATTATCATGGGTACTTCACTTGAAAGAAAACATATTTTTTAAATAAAAACCACTGTGTTTATGCCCAGAAAGTACTCATGGTGAAAGATATGACCATCTAAAATCACTTGCCATACTGCACATGGTCTTTTCTCCAATATCGCGGATGTTTGGATGTTTTCTTGTGGCTGTTTCATAGCTTCATTAGTTCACATGGCGAAATATTTGGAATCCAGATTCAACTTAGTTTAGCTGATATCGGAAGGTTATCGAAAACGATAGAATTTTGGGCACCAACTTGAATGACACTGTAACTGCAGTTAGTCGTCCACCTGTTGAACAGTGCCAATTTTAATCTGTCATTGACTACAATTGTAGTATACTAAGTTACTTGAAATATGAACACCTCACAATCTGAACAGCTTTGCTTCACATGTGATAAATTTCTGTCTGCCAAATAAACACCCATGTGCGTATTACTGCAAACAGTAATGAATCGTGTGGTATGTTTGATAACATAGATTTGTTATTATCCCAACGAATGATGTTTAGTAGGGATATAGTGAAGCCCTCCGTCCGTCCGACCCTGAAGAAAGATAACTAACATCACAATCAAATTAAGAAAAAGAAAGAAGACAATGAATGAATACACTAATGCAGCAACAACAAATGACGTCCGTCAGTCCGTCAGTCAGTCCGTCTGTCCGGAAGATAACTCGAATACCAGTCGACAGATTTTCTTCATATTTGGTGGAAAGATGTATATTGGTGAATAATTTTACGCAAAAAATATTTTTCAAGATGCCAAAAGTGGCGGGAATTTTTCGCAAAAATCCTATGTTTTTCATTTTAAACCAAAGTAATTAATATTATTATTTGAAATTTTGGAAGTATATTAACAACATCTGTCTATTTCACATACTGATATATCCTGTTTTTTTCACCCTGACCCCCAGGGGCCGTAAATTGGGGATTTGGAGAACAGAAATTCGCATTAATTTTGAGATTTTTTGAAGTATAGCTTTATTATACTCAAATGAAAGGCAATTTAGAGTTGATCGCAAATATTGCAGCGTTTTTCTGATTCGTGCCTCAAAAAATTCAAAATGTCTGCCTAATGCGGGATTTCGCAATTATTTTCTGATCTCTTAAAAGTATGGCTATACTATACTCAAATTGAAGAAAGTTCAGAGTACATCACAATTATGGCATTGTTTTTCTGATTTGTGCCTCTGAAAATCCAAAATGGCTGACTATAGGAGAAATTCACCATTACTTAGAGTTATCATGAAAGTATGGTGACATGATATATAGACTAATACTACAATGATCTAAAATATTTATTGAAGGTAAGAATAGACTGTTGTGACTGTACGGATTGATGATTTATATAGTGTTCGTTGGGATTTGCTACTCCGTGGATTTGCCATTTTCTAGTTAAGTACAAATATTAACCGAGCGTTAATTAGGAGGGGTGTTTATTTCATTAAAATAATTTTCACTAAATCTTTAATTCCAGATATTTTCATTGCAATTTTGGCTTTAATACGTACTTCTTTGACTGGCTGCATGGATCACTTCGACGTAAAGATCGTTATTACACCGAAGATACCTTTGGTGGAAAAGGTGCTGCTTTGCTGCAGCAAAAGAAGGATTAAAACAGATAATCTTATCGATTGACAAATCTGAACAAAACTGCCCTGGATTTTAAAGGATGGGTTCACTTCATTATTTTACACCGATCAGAGACATAATGCATGATGAAATACATTAGTAATAGGTGCAAATATACACAATGATATGAATAAAGAATTAAAGTCTCAATCAATAAACTTTCCAAGGAGGTACAGATGAAAGCTTGACGCATGGCGTTAATGACACGTTCAAAGGATATAAAATCCAAATGGATGTTGAAACCGTGCTCCTTATATTTTCATCAAATCTTACCTTAATTGCTACCCATCACTACGTGGGTCTTACACTGTCAGTGACTTGGTGTGGACAAGGCACGGCGTCTAGAAAAACTTCTCCAAAAGATTCAGCAGGATTGAGAGCAGCCCCTACGTTATTTCTACGGGATATTTTGAGGTTGATAATTTTCATTGAGTTGACAGAACACTTTACACGGTAAAGTGTAATTTGACTTCATAAGTTTGACAACCCTAGCTTCCCCATTGGATACATGCTATAAGCCTATTTATATTTGAGTTTTTATTTCCATAATCTGTAAAGAAAAGTCTACTTTTAGGGCTTGAAATATAAATTGACATCATTTCGAATATGCCTACTGTACTGTATTTTTCTCAATTTTTCAACAATAACAATATTGATATTAATAATAACTCATTTACTTCAGAGTAAAATGTTTTATTTTCGACGTTTCGCTAATCATCCAACTAATAGCTTTATCAAGATTCAAAATGGAAGTACACAGTTATACAAGTATTATACACAGAAATATTGATATTAATGTCAAATCTGATGACGTTGTGTTATTTCATGTTAAAATAACGCAGGAGGCGAAAATGATTTTCAAAAATGTAACTCTGTAACTTTAATGTTCACAAAGTAATAGATATCCAGATATCTGATTTGCCCCGAACCCACCATTTCAAATTGGTTTAAATGGGAATAACAATTTTCATAAATTCATCCTATTGTAATTGGTAAAAAGGAACGATTTAAAACTATGACTGTACGACACCATTTTTAAAATCGTATATTAGAACAATATAACTTCAATTTAACTATAACATAATCATTAACTGGCGCAAAAGTGCAAGACCACTATAATAAGTCCAATGCGATATCTGTCTCTTATCAAATCGTAACAGAACAATTAATAGTAATATATTCTATGTCAGGTTAGAACAAGCTCAATCACAGAGGATTAACTAGAAACAAAAACAGGCTGTCCACGTATCAAAAAGGATTTCATTATTACGCCATTTACGCACATTATCCTCTGGATGTAGTCTCCATTTCTCTAACATAAGTGAAGGATGAGTTTCGGTTTCTGAAGATATACGTCAACTTTACAATCGATAATACCCCTCGAAATGAACGCCCACTGGGTCGGGGGAGCTATTGCCCCTCTTAATAAATGCCTACCCCTATTTGGAAAAATGTTTTTTCCTTTAAAGGCCCATGAGCGTTCATTAAAAGTTCTTTCAAATAAACGCCCTGTGCAATATAAACGTCAGAGGGCCTATTCGAGAGAAACTCCAGTATATGTACAAGCTAGAGTTACAGTATGTTTAAAAGTGTTATCATCATTGAACATAACAGTGTGCTTTAACATTTTAAGACACCAATGGTTCAAGGTATAATGGTGTTGGATTGTTTTCAATTTTGGAATCGTTTGATATCAGAGAGCATCTTTAGAGGAAACATTTAACAGTGTAAGACTAAATTACTGGAATTATACTAGAAAAATCTCTAAATCTTCTTAGTCAAAAGTATTTTATATATTACTGATATGTCATTAATATGTTACAATAGCAACAATAATCATTCGTAATTTAAACAAGAACAGTAGGGAAAAGAGTAGGGGAATAAGCCTTCATTTGCATGCATTAATGGATTTCTGAAGTTTGTGATGTAATGTGCCCTAAGTGCCCCGCCCTGTCCAAAATCTTGAGTGGCAACCTATCGTTTCTACGGGAATCTATTCTATTTTTTATTCGTATTTCGATAATTTTCGTTTCGCAATTGGTTTTTTTAAGTACGTAATTATAAACGCATCTCAATCCTTGTTTAATAGTAGTGAAAACTAGGGTCAAACAAAATAATTCATCTGCACTAAGATTTCAATACACCATTGAGAGTGTCAGCTTTCAGAATCACAACTCCATTACCCTGCGGGCAGAGTCTAGTTACGAATGCAAAGGGTACAACTCCATAAGTATTATTGGTGAATGCAAAAATACATATTAACCCTTTCATCCCCAAGGGGTCATTTATTAATTTCACGAAATCAATTTCAAAAGAGCTGAGAATATCAGAAATTTTTTAGGTTAACAATAACCAATTCATTGTCAAACTATACTTTTGGGAATATTTAAGGGTTTGAACGCAGAAAGGCTGAAATAGTGGTCATTAAGTGAAGTGCAGCGAATGCATTATGCTACAAAATGCATAAACATTTCTGTTTTCGGTAAAAATGATATATGATATTGGAAATTAGTATTTGCATTTACTTATTTTTTCCTGAGAATATTAAGAATGCAGCAAGTGCGTTTTGACTTAACATGAAAGCATGCACGCTTGACGTAACATCATCATATCCCTTATGACTTCATTATCTTTTTAAGTATGCCCTTAATTAGTTCCGAAGGAGCACATGTAATCTAAACAAATGATATAAGTGATTCATTATATCATATCAAGCTTGAGCGCAATCCGTCCAGCCAAACATTTGACCTCTATTGCAACACCTATTTACTCATATAGCATCGTTTTATTTCACTCATAAGGAGAATTCCACCTTAAGCATATGCATAATGTCTATTATGGAGTGATTTCAATAAATAATTTCTTAGACGTAACAAACCATATAGGCATTCGTAGCCTTGCCCAAGTCGGTCTCTTACTTATCTTGCTTTCTATCCCGTGGTGAAAAATATGACCGTCTTCAATCACTTGCCATACTAGGCACATGGACCTTTAATTTCATGATTTTGCAGCTGTATATTTTGATAACACTTAAAGATCAGATAAGTAAAAAATATCGACTTGGTGGGAGCAAAGTAACATATTTGATCATAGAAAATGACGCAAATATATCATTAATGCAATAAAAGTACACCTCTCCTGTTTTGTATGAAAAATCAGCGAACATATATTATTTAAAAAGATAAATAAGCATTTTTTTCTTGGATTCATTGAACACCAGGAGACCCCCTCATCAGAGAATCAGAGAACGACGCAAAGCTAACGCCAATCATATCAGTTGAATATCTCACACAAGAGATTGCATTATATATGAATACATGTAGGTACCAAACCTATAACATACTAATAATGTGTACAAACATATTATTATACCCTTCGATTCTACACTGAATATACCAACCAACTGATATACCAACAACATGATACCGCTAACCGGCCATTTGTATCTTAACCCAATAATACAGTTTAGTTTAAGTTTAAAATAGTTTATTTTTGTGTCACTGACATTACAATATACATATAAAATACATAATAAAAACAACATTTTGTAACATCACCAGCCGGTGCCGACTTATGAGACACAGTATACATTATATCTGAGTGTCACCCATTACTACCCCCAATGGGCAGCTTGGGTCAACACTCATAAAGACAGAGACAAAAAATGTCCCTGGTAAAAATTTATACATGATTAATAACCAATGATATAAATTCAGTCTGATTAATCAGTTTGGCATAAATAAATAAGCAGTTCATGGAATGATATTGTCAATCATTATATTAAATACATATATTGCACTAAATGAGAGTAGCATGTTGCATATGGTCAAAAATTACAATAAATACAAATATCGCACTAAATGTGAATTGTATCATGCATATGGTCGAAGACTGTTATAACAATAAATTCATATATTGCACTTAATGTAAGTAGCATGTTGCACTATGGTCAAATATTACAATAAATATAAACATTGCACTAAATGTGAAATACACAATGCATCGGTTGAAGACAAATATTACAATAAATACATGTATTGCACTAAATGTGAAATGCATATTGCATGATAAATACATATATTGCACTAAATGTAAGTAGTATATTGCATATGGTCAAATATTACAATTAATATGAATATTGCACTAAATGTGAAATACATAATGCATATGTTTGAAGACAAATATTACAATAAATGCATATTGCACTAAATGTGAGATGCATATTGAGTAATAAATACATATATTGCACTAAATGTGATTAGCATGAGCAGTGAATAAATAAAAAAGAACCCCATAGATAATATACACCTCTGCAGTAGTGAATTGAGACCATCTTCCCCAAGGTTGATATGCATACATACATAGTGCGTATAAAAAAATTAGCTTGGGACCAAGTTATAAACATCGCGAAAGTCAATGTTCTTGGCCCAATGCAATATTGGAAGAAAACATGAAACCAATGATGACTGCATCCTTTTCAATCAATGTACCAAAAAGCCAGATTACTTCTCTTTGCAATGGAATGTCATTCATTCACAGGGAGTCATGGCTGTCCGAATAATCATTAATTTCACAAAGTTGGGCAAAATTCAGCTCGGACCCAAGTTTTAAACATTGCAAAACACAGTGTGTGGGGCATAAGGGCTATTGGAAAAGGTGTGACAGGTGTGGCATAGACAGTAAAGTGTTCATACTCATACTCTTGCAAGAATACATCCTATAACGTGTACCCCTCCAAATTGCCACCACTTCTTTGCACATAAAGATGCGCCCAACTATCCACACTATGCATAATTAAGCCCCGAGTCATCTGTGGGTTAAAGCGGAGAAAAGCAGCACATTGGCAATTCTTTCTCGAAGTTTTGCAATATCTGGTGGAGGAATTGTAAGCAAAGATGCTTCTGAGATTTCTCCAAAAGAAAAAGTCACAACAATTCAAGACAGGAGAACTTCAATTGGCACTTAGCCCTTGCACTGATTTTTGCGATATCTGAAATTTGGTTCAGAGCCGATTTTGACTCGCTATGCAAATGGAAGGATTTCTAACCCAACCATGACCACATGTGAATGAATGACATATCATTGCAAAGGGGAGGGACGTTGCTTTATGCTATTGAATAAAATTGATGTAGTCATCACTAGTTTTGTGATTTTACGAGCGTTTTTTTGATACGCCCTGTATAACCTATATTACAACCAAGCACAACCTAGGTAACCAATCATTAAACAATACAATAGAACATAACCCGGTAACAACATATACAGAACACAACAGAGCATAACCCATCACCAAAGCCATTTTTTTTATAAACCACAAACATTTAGATCATTAAAAAAATATTCAATACTTGAGTGAGCACGATATGCAAGGGTTACTAAGTTGACACAGTAAATGACCACTGATATTGTGTTAGCAAATATGTATTAGCAGAATACGCTGTGTGCATGGACTAACACCCCTCACTTTCATAGTGAAGTGACTAATTGGTTTATGTTTACGTTTTAATGTGTTTTGGGTTCCTTGTTACAGCAAGGGGGGCCAGTAAAGTAGACTAACATGTTTGCATGGCAAATTTTGATCGAATATGTGAGACACTTTAATTAA